CTTGGAAATACTAGTGTCAGTTACATAAACTCGGACTATATAATTTAAGATATTATTGTCAACCTTTGGATCATGACCTAAGGGTAGATCCACCTATAGTATCAACATAATGTTACCTCATCTAAACCATTAGATCATAGACACTAGATGTATTTCTTTTAGGATAAATAACTCCAATTATGTTACAAAGGTAAATATCATTTCCTTTGTCCTTGTGTTATATATATGGCCTAAATTTTTCGCTGAATTAACTCTTTGAAAGCAGAGCTTTCGCCTTATGAAACTCAATGTATAATAACGCACAATCTTGTATATTACTACGATGAAGATTAAATCAGCTAAAGGAATAAAGTCCTTAGTGAAAATCAACAAAATGGTTCAGTTGATTCTCAACCAGGTAAAGTGGAGGGTCTCTAGATGTGTTAAGAGGCCAATAATTAAGAGAACTTAGCTGGCCTGAAAGGTTTTTCTTTTTATTTATTTTAATTAATGATTTTGTTTATTTTAATCATATACTATTAAATGAAATATTTGTAGTTTTGTGAAGAATGTCGTATCTTTGGGTTTAAGTCCTGATCCATCATTCTCTATTGGCTTAGTTTTAATTGTAGCTTTTACTAATTCAAATTCCATTGGTTGAAGGATATCAATTTCTTTTCATCCCACTTACACAGTCTAATCGGCTTGAAAAGTAGACAGTGATCTCCTTTATAAAGAAAGTTTATGACAATAAATTAACAGAAATTTTCTTGATTGCATTAATAAAGCAGGCAATTTTTGGATTTTCTGCATACGGATAACTTTTTTACTTTAGGTTAATGTCTGCAACATACCTCTCCTTTCTTACTCTTTCTTTTATATTGTATGATTAAAATATTTAATTTATCATAAGATTTATTCTTAAATATAAAATTTAATTAGCATAGTCAGCTTGTATAGCCAGCACAATGAGTCAGTCACAGGTTCACAATCAACTGTCATGTGGAATCTTTACTGGTACTTAAGTTAGTCTGGTTGTACATATAAAAAAAGGCATTTTGGTGTTTTTATTACTAGATCTCCATTTCCAATATAATAATAGACAATTGGAATATTACATTATAAAATAATGGCTGTTAAAATATTTTACTAAATGCCTAATCAACTTTAGGTTCTTTGAGAATTCACTTTTAAATTATGAGAAACAACTCCAAATGGGGCCTTAAAAATCTTTCATACGAAAACAATTTTTAAAATAAAATCTAGTAACTTTGTATCTAGTGTCAACTGCATTCTTCCAATGAATAACTAATGGGGAATTTGGGATGCTAGTCCCTCTCAAGTCTTAACAATATTTATTCTCAAAAGATGATACTTTCATTAATAGGTAATTTAGAAAATACAAAAAGTTTAAGTAATACACTCTCCCAAGCTACATGAGATTTCACCATAAAATTTAATTCCCGAAAGATGAGTTAAGTTTCATGCTCAACTGGTATGCTGCTAGCAATATTGTTCCCTGCGTCTGTAGGATAAGTAATTTTGAGATTTCACCATAAAATTCATTATTGCTGATATCTAACATTTCTAGCTTTGGTTAGATGCCAAAATCTTCATATATATTTCCAACAAGTTTGTTCCATTCAAAACTAGCACCTCTAGCAGGCTCAACTTTTCAAGTTCTTTTGGAATCTCTCCAGCTAGAAGATTTGAAGAAAGATCAATTCTACCAAGTTTTGTTAAGTTTCCAAGCTCAGTTGGAATGCTACCAATAATTTTATTAGCTGCAATCTTTAGGATGCCTAATTTTTGACACTTTGCCCAGTTAGACGAGATTTCACCATGAAACTTATTTTGGCTGAGATCTAAGTAATCAAGGTGTGGATAGATGCCAAAATCTTTTGATATATCACCGACAAATTCATTTTTTTTTTCAGGCGGAGTCTCTTCAGGCTTGTGCAATTTCTCAAGCCTTTAGGGATTGGACCTCGAAGATGGTTGCCTTTCACTGTGAAGTTCTCAAGTAAACCACTATAGCAAATATTTTTGGGTAAAAAACCAGTGAAGTGGTTGTCATCAAGTGTCAATACAGACAAGTTCTTGAGATTTCCAATTTCTTGAGGAATTGAATCGGAAAGATTGTTGTTACGGAGATAAAGTGTTGCAAGATCACTTATTTGTGTCGGGATAACAACAAAGAGTTCATTTATGCCAAAACAATATACAAAAGATGGGGAAATGATGAGAACAACAATTCATGAGCGTACCTTTTAAACCTGAAATAGACATGTTAAATCTATAGATTCTTCCGACAAGGTTACAAGAAATTCCAGACCAAGTACAAGGGCTTGTTCTGTTTCCGAGTTGAGTAGAGAAATATTGGTGGCATTTACAAGAGAAAGAGTCCATGAAGACAGGGGAGAACGATTTTGGTTTTGAAGGCTGGCTTTCCATTTGACAAGAGCTTGTGCTTCTTGAGTGTGAACGAACAGAGGAAGAGAGAGTTTTTCTGAATAATGCTCTTAACTTTCATTTATTTACAAGAGAGTTTATATACAAGTCTTTGCTGACTAATTACTGACTTACTAACTACTTAAGCAACTAATCCAACTAATTAAAACTGACTAATTAACAACTTAACAAACCAGCTAACTGATAACTATTGAATTACATAAATACCCCTTCCAGTTAATTCCTACAGAGTGGAATCAAAAGCAATACTAAGCTGAAAATGTAGCACAATAAAGAGCATGAAGAGAACAAGGGGAAATAATTTCTCGAGGGATGAGAATGCCATTGTTGAAACTACTTAATTTTATGCAATGCAGAGCCTAATTCAGAACTCACATATTTTATAAACAAGGCTTGGAACTGTCAAGTCAATTAAGGTCATTGACCTATACAAAACTAAACGGATGCTTTCATATTGATCTACTTTATGCAACACCACAAACGTTGCCGTCATGACTTAAAACCTTATGGTCACTATTAAGTCAATTAATATAAGGTCTTTGTCTTTTACTTAAACATCTTCAAAATGCATGTTGAATATCGTAAAGAGATTGTTATGTTCCTCTTGGTAAATGACTCTTCTTTATGTTGAAAATATGGTGAATTATGGAGGCCCATATAATCTCTTTTAACATTTGGTTTCAATTTACATTGTTGTGTTGAAATTTTACCGGCTAATAGCTAGGCATCAATTCTGAAATCTTATATTTCAATTTCGTATTTCAAAACACGAAATTATAATTAAAATTGTTTAGCAACTTTTAATATATATTAAGACAAATTTACGATATTCTCAACATTATTGGCGATGCAGAGTTTAACTGAGAAACTCCATATTTATAAACAATTTAATGGAATTCAGAGCTATCAAGTGGGAACTCAACGTTACTATATATTTCAATACGAGTAAGATTTAGTGCAATGTGAATGCTGCCTCTTAAGACTTGACTTAAGATTACATATCGAATTGTGGCATTAGGTGTGAATTAAGTGTGCGTAGGATGAATTTTCTCTGCCCTATAATTAAGGTAGGGCTCAATATTTTTGTACTGTGGCATTTTAACTTTTTAGAAACTCCAAAGACTTGGGTCAACTTTAGGCTTCTTCTATCATTTTTAATTAATATTTTACTTAAAATAGAAATTAAAAATAAAAATAAAAAGAGATTATGGGTATGTTTAGAGCATTCTTTATATTGAAAAATCTTTATGGGATTGTCAACAAAAAAAAAAATTATTTAATTATAAGAATGGGTTTGTAACCAAAAAAAAAAAAAAAAAAGAAATTGTTGAATCGCAGCTTTTGGTTGGATTTGTTTAAAATTTTACTTTAATGTAAACGGAGGTGCAACTAATTAATACATTTACAATGTGATTGGTATTGCCATGCAATTAAGTGAAGACCAGAACTTATAATTTCTAATATAAAAAGCGTCTTATTAGGATTAGTCCTGGAAGAAAATTTTTACAATCAAAGTTGAAAGAGGACCTCCATAATTGTCTCTCGAATTTTAAATTAGTTTAAATGAATTAATTTATATTATACATTATGACAAAAATACATAATAGTATCAAAGTTTGGAGCTATCCAGATTTCTAGGGTGGCTGAGACTTCTAATTTGGGTTGTGGACTTTGTCTCAACTATTTTATCTGTTCATGATTTTTGTTTTTCAAAGATAATTTAAAAATTCCATAAGCCTTAGTGGAGGTGGTTTGGTATTACAAAATTGTCAGTTTATTTAAACGCCCCCTAATTTATCGTAAAAAAACATTTCCTCTTTAGTTTCTGAAATACTCAACATTATCTTTATTTTCTGAATTTAAGTGTTAAACTATATTATAAAAAGATAATATTGTCAATTCACCTTATATATATATCACATTATGAAAACAGAAAACCTAGTCTAACATTATGAATTGTCAAAATTTCCCTTTCATGGTTAAATTTTAACCCCTGGAAATGTTTTCTTACAAAAGATTTGGGGGTTAAAATGTCATGCAGACTTTTTTTTTTTTTTTTTTTCAAAATGCTTGATCTCACATGGGCCTTATTAGGCCTCTTACATGTAGCCCATAAAATACATTTTCCCTTTGCTACTGCAATTAGGCTTTTATGGCAAAAAATGCTCATTCAACAGTGACTCATGAGTTGAGCCTTCTCAATTTATCATGTGGATTGTCCAATGTAAACGGTGCATGCCACGTCAACAATTTTATTACTCCAACATATTAACTTGAGCAACGTTACTGAGCATACCAAACATTTCCCCAGATTTTTAAATCAAAACAAGTTATCAGATTTGAAATATAAACTTAAGAAGCATAATTTTAAAACTGTAATAATAAGAATAACATCAGCTTAAAGTTTTATTAGCATCATCCTTGAATAATAAGAACATGGAACTTAGTTTTATGAAGTACATGATTGAAGACAGTTCAGATGTTAAAATGATACTACCTTCTTTGACTAGATGGAGTTCCAACAAGTCCTGCATCTTCAATGAATAATTTCAACTCTCTTGAGGAATAAAACCAGAAAGATTATTATCACGAAGAGTCAACTTATGTAAGTTGCTCAAATTATTAAAAGAAGGAGGGATAAAGCCATTAAGTTGATTCTCACCTAAGAACAGAATATGAAGAGATTTCAAATTTCCTATTTCTGTGGGAATAGATCCACTAAGTTGATTACCATACAATTGAAGAACTTTGAGGTTTCTCAATTTTCCAAGTTCTTGAGGAATGAAACCAGAAAGTGCATTCTCATTAAGAATCAATAGAGACAAGTCACTCAAATTTCCCAAAGAAGAGGGAATTGAACCACTAAATTGATTGTGATATAAATAAAGATATCTGAGATTTCTTAAACCACCTAGAAATGTTGGAATCGAACCTAAAAGATCGTTGTCATAAAGACTCATATCTGTGAGAGATTCCAAATTTTCGAATTCTTGAGGAATAGATCCGGAAAGTTGGTTCTTGAACATGTACAACACGCTTAGCTTTCGTAGTTTCCCAAAACTAGAAGGAATGGCACCGGTTAAATAGTTGGCACTCATGTAAAGTACAACTAGATTAGAAAGGTTTCCCATTTCTGGTGGAATAGAACCAAAAAATAAATTATGGTGAAGACTCAATAGAGACAAGTTGGTCAACTTTCCCAAACAAGCAGGAATTGAACCATTAAGTTTATTTTCACTTAAGTCTAAATCAATAAGGTATTTCAAGTTTCGTATTTCTATGGGAATAGAACTAGAAAGTTAATTACTATATAAATAAAGATAGTTGAGATTTCTTAAACCACATAGAGAAGCTGGAATTAAACCTGAAAGATTGTTGCTATAAAGGCTAATATCAATGACGGATTCCAAATTCCCTAATTCCTTAGGAATGGAACGAGAAAGCTGGTTCTCAAACATGTGCAACACGGTTAGCTTTCTAAGTCTCCCGAAATTGGAAGGGATGGAACCAATTAAATTATTGGTATCCATGTATAGTTCAACTAGATTAGAGAGGTTTCCTATCTCTGGAGGAATGAAACCAGAAAGTGAATTATTATAAAGATATAACCAAGACAAGTTACTCAAGTTACCCAAAGAAGTAGGAATTGAACCTTCCAAACGGTTGCTATACAGTGCAAGATCATTAAGAGAACTTAGCTGGCCTAGTTCTTCAGGAATTGAACCACTCAACTGATTTTCAACCAAGTGAAGTGTCTCCAGATGTGTTAAGAGACCAATTTCTAAGGGTATTTTCCCGGAAAACTGATTAGTTGACAAGTCAAGGTACTTTAGTTTGGAAAGGACACCAATTTGATATGGGATGGAGCCAAAGAGTTCATTAATGCAGAGATCAAGATATGCAAGATGGGGAAATGATGAGAATGACAATTCATCGAGCGTACCTTTTAAACCTGAATTAGACAGGTTAAATCTATGGATTCTTCCCGCATGGTCACAAGAAATTCCAAACCAAGTACAAGGGTTCATTTTGGTTTTGAGGTGGGTAGAATTATTGGTGGCATCAGCAGGATATAGAGTCCATGAAGAGAGGATATTCTGGTTTTGAAGGTTGGCTTTCCATTTGAGAAGAGCTTGAGCTTCTTGAGTTGTATCAAAAGCAACATTGAGTTGAAAATGTAACGCAAGAAACAGGATAACTAGGGAGAATAATTTCTTGAGGGATGAGAATGCCATTGTTTAAACTAGTTAATTTTGTGCAGCGCACAGAGTGGTTCAGAAACTCCATATCTATATACAAGATAATGGAATCTAGAACTGTCAAGGCTTGGAAAAAAAAAGTCTTTGCACCATCTTTCACTCCAAGTTTTTGTTGATTTTTTGAGTCATCTCAACGTACAAGAAGGTTTATGCAATTTTTCTTTCATCAAGAAAATAACACTTCTCGATTATATTTTCACACTAGATAACATCTTGATTTCTTCATAAAATAAGATATTAATGTAAAGAAAGTACTTAAACTTGCTTAGTTCACGGTCTAGTCAATCTGGGTCTTTTTCGTACTGTATACATTTTCTCCAAATGCGTGTTTGAAAACATTTATCTTTCCGTAAGACACGGGGCTCAACATTATGGAATTATAACTGATTTGCGAGACTCAAAAGACTTGAGTCAAGTCTTCTTCTATCATTTCCAATTTGTTATTATAACCTGCTACTAATTATTCTTCGGTTTCTGGTAAATCAAAAGGCAATCTCTCGTATTCCATTAGGGAAGAAATTAGAGATGCCATAAACTCTATGGGTTAATGCCACAAATTCCATCCAAAAAATTTTTGACTGTGCGCCAACTATATCAACTATACTTGAATGGTTAGATAATCATAGTTAGTGATAATATTATTGTTTCCATCGCTATTTCAAAACCATACATGAGATTTTTACGTCATAGCTGAATTTTTAAAATTTAATTATTGTTAAATTTTAGTAGATTATGAGAATAAATTTGTAACAAAAAACTTAGTTTATGGTGGCTTTTCGGTAGATTTCAAAGTCATATTTTTGGTCTATAGAATTTTAAATATCTATATCTCTTGGAAAATTATTTTTATTATTAATAGAGTAAACGACATGTTCCCTTTCCTAGTTTCTTAAATTTCAGATTTTCGCCTTAAATTAATAGAAATTTTTTTAATGTAATGTTGAAAGGGTAAAGTGGTCATTTGCATTAATTAAATTTGAAATGAAAATAAAATTTTAAAATAACCCTCCTACATCTCAAATTTCTCACAAGCACCCTCTCTCAACACACCACCATTGTCGTCACTGTTGTCGGCCGTATTCCGTGGATCCCTACCTGATTTCTCACCCAAATCGACAGGATTCGTCACCCTCAACCAAACAATCAAACTTCCTCACAAAACCAAACAATCAATCAACAAATCAAAAGAAAAAAACCCAGAAATAAAACAATCAAATGAAATCAACCGTCGGTGTAGCCCGTGAGCAACGAGATACTGTGGTCGGGAATGATGGGGATTTTGGAGAGGGGGTGTCGGTGAGTCAAGGGTTGGTGGTGGGAGGGGTTAAGGCTGTCGAAATCAGTTAGAATTCGGATTGGGACAGTTGCGCGTTGCGCTAAAGAAAATCGGCAGTGGCCGATGAATGGTGGGTGAGTTCGTGAGGGAAGAGGGTGAGGTTTTGGTGGTGGATGGACAAAGGTGTTGTGGGTGGTGTTGGGGAAGGTCGCCATCTCCAAAAAAGGGCTAAATCGGCTTGAAAAAGGAAGTGGCGCACAGCTTGGAAATGGTTGCGGGAATGGCCAAAATCCGGTCAAATGGATAGTTAATCGGCTTGAGACTTGTGAGGATGGGCTAAGGGTGGTGATTCCAATCGTTTCCGGTGCGAATACTGGCTGGAATCTGTTCTAAACTATGCTAAGGGTGTTATTGAAATCAATTTGAAAATAATATGGGTTATTTTTAATTCTACTAATTTCATGGTTAAAAAGTTATTTATTAATTTATTTCAAGGTGGTGGTGATACAATTCTCTATACTGTGTTAGAACCCAAAATTCATTGAAGTATTGATTTAAGAGTGAGCATCTAGAATTTATGAAACTAGGGTGGGAATTGTAGATTTGTGAAACCTTGAGTGGGAACATGTCGTTTACCCTTATTATTATGTAGTCACGGTTTCATCTTGTATTTTATAATGTTTAACAATATTTTTTTTATTCATAATTGCCACTAATTAGAAAAATTTCCCTCTAACATCTCCTGTTTTAATTTTAGTTTCATGTCAATGAAGTCACTACTACTAGTCTAGGGGTGTTCGGTTCTGGGTATCCTATATTTTTTGCTAGAACCAGAACCGACGGTTCCTTAAAATTTGAAACTGAAATCAGAACCGACGGTTTTGGTTCCTAGGTACCTAAAACCGAAACCTGTAACAACGGCTCCGATTTCGGTTTTAGGTACCCTGTAAAATTTGTGACCCCCCAAAAGTTTTTAAAATGACAAAAAAACTCTTAAAAACTTACAAATACCCCCCACCTGGCACTTATTAACAAAAATAAAATTACAAATTACAAACTCCATTACTTTGTAAAGATAGATTCTCAAAACTCAAACCAACTTACTTTAAATGTTATGAAATATAAATATAAATGTATTCACATTATTTTTTCTACAAAAGTTTTTATTAACCTCTCTACTCTTTAATTTTATTTATATTAGTCTCGGTTCCTAATTCCGATTCAGGTTCCTAACTACAGGAACCAGAACCGGAATAGCACAATAATGGTTCCAAAAATTTGGAACCGGAACCTACCCATTGACGGCCGATTCCGAGTAGAAACCGGAACCAAATCCCGGGTATCCGTCGGTTCTAATTCCAATCGGTTCATTTGAACACTCCTTACTACCGTACTACAAATGAAAGAACAAAGAAGTTTCAATTAATTTGTCCATGTCCAGAATTGCAATGTTAATGATTTGATTCAAACATTACAGAAACATCTTATAAATTAAGAATATTACTTAATCCTAGAAGCAATTCACATTTAATTCAAAGTAGGGCAAGGACCTCCATAATTGTCTCACGAGCTTGACATTTGATCCTAATAGGCCTCTCCTCTGGCTTGTTCATGTTATTTTTCACACCAACTTTGGCTCACCGTTTCGCCGAACCTGAAAGGTTGTTTTAGAAGCAGGAATTGGTCCGTGTAAATGACTTACTGTGCAGTGCANGGCTTTTGATGAGAAGATTTGAGCTATAAGAAGTAAAAATGAAGTTATGGTAACCAAGTGAAGTTTGGTTACATTTAGAAAGAATTTAAGTAGAATATTTGAAGTGTTTTCTTGGCCATGTTTAGATTTATTGTGGAGGAGTTTTGCTCCATGAATGGATGGTTAAAGAAGTAGAGATGTATCAAAAATAGAATTAAAGCATGCATGCATTATGTTTGATGAAATGCCTAAGTGAAAACTGTCTTGTCACAATAGTGATCTTCTGAGTGATTTTTGGATATCTTACAGATTGAACTGGGTTGAGAACAAAACAGAAAAGTTGTAGCCCTATCTCTAAGCTTTAAAACAAGACCAAAATCGTAGCAATCTGATATGTATAACTCAAGTTATGCCTTCTTGAGTGTAACCTGTGCAGAATGACTATCTTGATGCAACATTGGATTTGTGCATTTCATGAGTGCATTAATGAGCATGAATCATCCATATGCATTAGAGAAAGAGTAGAAAAAGAGTAGAGAACTTTGAGTGTGAACTTTATTAAGAGAATAGAGTAGGTTGTGCGACGAGAACTCGTGAGTAATGGGTAGAGGATTCCCGCATGTACGCCGCATTGAGAAAGCGGCATGAGTATGAGAGAGAGAAGTGGTGTAGCCCGTGAGAGTGCATATGGATGAGGGCTATATCCGAGAGTACCCGAGAGAGAGATTATATACTCACATGGCCAAGGGTTCCAAATCCATGCATAACCGAGTCTGATCGGCTAAGAACAAGTAGAAGTCAAGGAGAGCGAGAGTGAGTCACTACCGTGCCCCCGGTAAGATGGGGCCGTGACTTACTAAAGAGAGTTAGTAGAAAAGAGTTCTAAGAAAGAGAAAATAGAGAGAGAGAAACAAAAAGAGAAAACAGAGAGAAGTATAACAGAGAGAGTAAATGAGAATTGTAAGGAAAGACTTAGAAAGAGAGAGTTACGGGGATAGATGACTAGAGGGTTTACTTATTGAGCATTATTTGTGCTCACCCCGTTGTTTTTCTATGTTTTTGCAGGATTTAGGTGAGGACACAGTCGGATGGACGTCGGCATGCTATAAATTTCCTCAAATTTAATATTATTATTTAATTTTAGTTATTCATATAACCCCCCTACATTTAAAAACTTAGCAAAAACAACCATATAATAAAAAGTTTGGAAAATCAACCCCACCAACCCAACCACTGTCTGTCATCGGTAACCACCGCCAACCGCCCCAGCTGGCAACCTAACGGTGCATGGAAGGTTAGAATTGCCGTGTGTGTAATGCCCCACTTGAGGTATGTAGTTATTATTGTTGCATTGCTTGAATGGTTATGATTTGTTCTCATTTAGCTTGCATGTTGTTGTTTTTGTTTGGTTGGCCTTAGTTGAATTTTGTTAAAGTTTTTTTGAGAAAATGTGAAGAAAATCCCTTAAACTTTCATTAGGGGTAAAATGTCTTTTCACTCAAATTATTGAAAAATTGGGTAGTGAAAGAGATAGAATTTCATGGAGAATGTAATAAAATGAGGGCATTATTGTAATTGATTAAGGGACATAGATGAAATTTCAAGAAAGAGCAAGGGCAAAATGGAATGAGGTATGTAAGTTGAGCTAAAAGGGTTTAAGTGTTGAAAGCCCTTCATTCTTCACCATCTCCACCGCCATTCTCATTCCCTAATTTCTCTCAATCCTCCACTCAATCTTCCAAGAATTTTAAGGATTTTTGGGGTAGTTTTTAGTAGAGATTTAATCTAAAGCATCCTAAGGTAAGGATTCTTGCTTTAGATGAGAATTTGCTTATGATTTGTTAAAGTCTTATGTTGTATTGTTTAAAGTTGTAGATAGAATACAAGATCAAAAGGGAAGGAAAGTGCTAGAGAAGCATTTACCCATAAGGTAATAAATCCAACCCAATTTAAGGTTCAGCATCAAATGATTGATATGTATGCTCACGTTTATGACTTGAGATTGAT